GTGTTCCCTCCCCAGGTGAGACCCCTCCTCATGGACCCCCTTTTCCAGGTGAGAACCCTCCCCAGGTGGGACTCTTCTGCACATGTGCCCCCTCCCCAGGTATCCCCAAACCCCGGCTCACCCACTCCCGTACCCGCGCATCCCACAGGCACCAGCGGTGTCCTCCCTGTCCCCGTGTCCCCTCCGTGTCCCCTCTGTCTCTCTGTCCCTCTATCCTCCCTGCCCCCTCTGTCCCTCTGACCCCCCCGTCCCCTCACCTGCCCCTCGCCGCCCTCATGGCCCCGCTCAGCGCCATCGCTGCCTTCCCCGCGCCCGCCTGGCCCCGCCCACCACGGGGGGCCACGCACGCCATTGGTCAACCCTACCGAGGCGGGCGTGGTCATAACGGTAATTCTGCTTCTGATTGGTTAATAACTAACAAAGCCGCCACACCGGCCTCAGCGCCCCCGCCCATTAACGCATGCTATTGGTCAAGACACATCGAGGGGCAGGGCTAAGGCTGAAACACGGATTCTGATTGGTTAGTATGCAAAGATCGCGGCTCCCTGGTGAAGCCATGCGAACCCCGCGGTTCCGCCCGGTCCCAGTGAGAAACATTATTTAAATACTTATAAGATTTGATATCTATTTATATTGAAAGAAAATCTAAAAATTTATAAATTTATTAAGAGATAAAATCCGGCCCTGGCGTGCTTGGCTATTTGCTTGATATTTCTATTTTTATATTTTTAATTAATTAATTTTTATTTCTATTTATTGTTATGAATACGCAGGTACGCCCTGTAAAGGATCAGTATGTAGAGAACATGTTTTAAGTCAAATAAATATAAATATATTGAATGTATAGTTTTGCGTAAATAAATAATATATATTTAATATAGTATAGTAGTGGTTTTGTATTAAATATATATAATTTATATATAAATATTAAAATATATAAAATATATGTATATTTATTTAACTTAAACCATATTTTCTATAGACTCCATTACAGAGGCTCATGCAGATTTATAAGAGTTTATCTTAAAATACTTCTTTGCATTTAGACATTTTTTTGCTTGGTTTTAACCTTTGACTTGTCTTCTCGCCATCTTGTAGATTAAACCAATATATTTTACTTCTTCTTGTGGTTAAATAATGATAACGATAATGATAATGGTAATGATAATGATAATAATAATTTAGATAGTGTATATTTTATTATTTATATTATTATTAATTAGATATTATTGTTACTGTTGTTAATTAGATAGCATTATTATTATTATTCCTGTAGCTATTCCAATTCCCAAAATCTGGGCTTGTCTTCCAGGGGGGATACAGGCACAGACGGACTGGGATGGACTNGCCCGGCACTCTCGGCGGGATCAGCGCTGCAATTCCCGCGCCAGGGGTGGGAATTTTGGGGCGGGAGGCAATTCCCGACAATTCTAATCAATTCCCGGCAATTCCAAACAATCTCAGGCAAAATCCAGGCAATTCTAGGAGCGCAGGACACCGAAATGGGATGGGGGCAATCGAATCCCGTGATTTTGGGGCGGGAGGAAATTCCAGGGATGCGCCGGGCACTGAAATGCGTTGCAAGGGGTGGAATCCCACTTTTTTTCACCCTCTCCACTCCAGGAGCAACAATCCCAGCAGAAGCTGCGCCCCGATCACCCGGCGGGATCAAATTCCCCGGAATTCCCATGCCAGGAGTGGGAATTTTAGGGCAGGAGACAATTCCAGACAATTCCAGGGGAGTGGGATCGAATTCCCTGCAATTCCCACGCCGGCAGTGGGAATTTGGGGACAGGAGACAATTCCAGACAATCTCAGGGGTGCGCCAGGCACTGAAATCGGATGGAGGGAACGAAATCCCCTTTTTTTCCCCCTCCACTCCAGGAACAACAACCCCAGGGCCCAGATCACCCAGCGGGATTGAATTCCCTGCAATTCCCATGCCGGGAGTGGGAATTTTGGGGCAGGAGACAATTGCAGACCATTCCAGGGGCGCGCCAGGCACCGAAATGGGATGGAGGGAATGAAATTTCTTTTTTCTTTTCCTTTCCACACTTCAGGAACAACAAGCCCAGCAGAAGCTGTGCCCTGATAACCCGGCGGGTCCCCGGGAGCATCCGGCACGGCAGGAAGGAGCCCGGCAGGAGGAAATATTAAATCCTGGGATATAAACACGGCGGCGGGAGCAGCCCCGCCCCAGCGCGGCCCCCCTGAAAAGCGCGGTCCCCGCGGGGTGGGGCGGCCAGAGTGGCGGCGAGGATGGAGAAGAGCAGCTTTGCCATGGCCAAGTTCGGGCTGGAGCACAAGGAGGCGATGCCGAAGCGCGACTGCGGTTTTTACCTCAAATACATTTTTCTTTTCACTTCGCTGATCCAATTCCTGATCATCCTGGGGCTCGTGCTCTTCATGGTGTACGGGAACGCCCAGGCGGGCACCGACACCCACCTGAGGCTGCTGGAGGAGCAGGTGCAGAGCCACTACCGCAGGATTGTCGCCCTGGGTGCCACCAACGCCAACCTGAGCCGCACGCTCAACGCCACCCTGAAGGACAGGGACAAGGTGCAGGGGATGGCGCTGAAGGCGCAGAGGGAGCTGGAGAAGTGTAACAGCAGCCAGGCCTCCAGCAGCATCCCGCAGGTGAGCCCGGGCTCCTGGGAATCCCGCGGGAGGGTGGCACTGCCTGCGGCTGACGCTGCTGTCGCCTCCTCGTCCCTGTGGGTGGTGGCAGCGAGGGGACCCCAGAAAGTGCCAGGGGGTTTTGGTCAAGGGGGTCCCAATCTTCTCTTCCTTCTCCTCCTCTTCCTCCCTGGAGCTCTCTCAGAGCCCCTGAAGTGGTGCCCAGGGATCCTTTTGGGATGGTCTGACCCCTCTCCTCCTCCTCCTCTTCCTCTCGTTGCCCTGGAGCTCTCCCAGAGACCCCGAAATGGTGCCTGGGAATCCTTTTGGGATGTTCTCACCCTCCTCCTCTTCTCCTCCTCCTCTTCCTCCTGTTGCCCTGGAGCTCTCCCAGAGCCCACGAGGAGATGCCGGGGGGTCCTTTTGGGATTCTCTGACCCCTCTCCTCCTCCTCTTCCTCTTCCTCCCGTGCAGCTGCGGGAGCTCGTGTTCCAGCAGCTGAGGCTGAAAGAGTGCCAGGTGATCACCACCCTCATCAATAACACCTGCACTGGTAAGAGACACCCCCAGCCTCAAAAAACCCCTGGGGACCCCCAGCATCCCCTTCCTACCCCTTGGGGACCCCCAACTCTCCCTCCCCAACCTCCTGGGCACCCCCAGCATCCCTACATGACCAGCCCCAGGCAGAGGCGTCACCCCAAGCCATTGGGTGGCACCTGGGGGGACCCAAACCCCTGGATTCCAAATCCCCCAGAGCCAAACCCTGTCCCCCAATACCCCCCAAGCTGAGAAGCTGCAGCTGCAGCGGCAGCTGGACCAGGCCAGCTTGTCCAAGAGAACCCTGGAGGGCAGCAGGCAGCAGAGCCAGGCCGAGTTGACCAAAGTGACCCAGGAGAAGGACAAGTGCCAGCAGGACCTGCAGAGTGCCAGGACCGAGGGCGACATGAGCAGGATGGAGCTGGACATGCACAAACATCGCTGCAGCTCCCTGCAGAGCGATGTGAGTGAGAAGATCCTGAGGGTTTTGGATCTGGCCAAGCAATACCAGTGCAAAGAGGCCGAGAAGGAGCTGGGGCAGATCCGGGAGCGCGTGGAGGAGCTGCTGCGGCGGCAGAAGGAGCGCGACTCGCTCTTCGTGTGGAGGAGCAGCTGTGAGCTGAGCGTGCAGCAGTGCCGCCACAACTGCTCCCGCGACACGCAGGAGCTGCAGCAGAGGATCCAGGGGCTGGAGAAGCTCCAGAAGGACGGTGAGGAGGAGAGGAAGAGGCTGCAGGCGGACAAGGAGAAGGTGGGGAAGGAGCTGGAGGAGAAGAGGAAGGCGGCGGCGGCGATGGAGGAGTCGCTGCGGCAGCAGCTCGGGGTCTGCATGGGAACCAAGGTGGGGACATGGGGCATTGGGGACATGGGAACACGGGGACATGGGACATTTGGGCACTGGGGACATGGGGACTCCCATGGGGACATGGGCACAAGCACCTCTGCACTGGGATTTTCCTTCCTGACACCGGGATTTTGTTTATGTGGGAATTTCCTGCTGGGGGCGGTGCCACCCCTGAGCGGTGCCACCCCTGAGCAGTGCCCACTTTCCCCCCAGATGTCCCACCTGGACCTGCCGGGCTCGCGGGGGCCAGGCAGCGCTGCCCGCTCGAGCTCCTTCCCTGGCACGGGCGCCTACATGGAGCTCCTGAAGAACCCGGCCATCCTGGGCACCATGGGTGAGTCCTCGGGGGACTGGGGACAGGCTGGGGAGTCACCATGTCCTCTGGGTGCCCACCCCATCCCATGCATCCCATTCCATGGATCCCATCCCAATCCCATGGATTCCTTCCCATGGACCGCAATCCCATGGATCCCAAGCCATGTATCCCATCCCAATCCCATGGATCCCATCCCGATCCCAACAGGAATGCAGAACCCGGTGGAGCTCCAGCAGATGCTGCAGTTGATGGAGCAATACACGGCCACCCTGAAGAACGCCAGGTGAGGGGACAGAGGTGACACCGGGCCACCCTCTCCGGGGCACCCAGTGCTCCTGGAGCTGCCCCCGACCTGATCCCACTTTTCCCACAGCGGATAATGCTGGAAAATCCCACGGAAAACCAGGAGAGCCGCCCAGGAGGTGCTTCCCGCAGCACGGATGGCAACTCCTGCCCCAGGGCCACCCTCCCTTTGTCCCTTTGTCCCCGTGTCCCCAAGCCCACCCTGCGTGTCCCCTCAGATGTATCCCTGCCTTTCGGCTGGAGCGGGACAACAGCCGGCCCCGAATCTGGGGACAACTTGCTCCTTTGTGTGGATTGAAATCCATGGAAAAACTGGGAATTTTGGGAGCGGGAATTTCGCACAGAGGGGTGGGAAATGCCCAAGGACGAGGGACAGGGATGTCCTTGTCTCCAGAGGATGCAGCACAGGGATGTCCTTGTCCCCAAAGGACGAGGGACCATGCTGTCCTTGTCCCCCCGCCCCCCCCCGGAGTGGAGCAGGGATTTATTCCCAGGATTTATTCCTGGGATTTACGGCTGCGTTTCCTGTGGAAAATCCTTTTCCTGCCCCGCCGCCCCTGCCCGCACGCCAGGCGCCACCGAGGCCTCACGGAGTGTCCCTTGTCCCTTTCTCCATCCCAAGTGTCCCCCGAGCCGTGTCCGTGCCGGGAGAAGGGCACTGCCACCTCCTGCCACCCCTCCAAGGATGGCGATGCCACCTCCCCCCCCCAACCTCCTGCCAGGTTGGGACCGTGGTGACAAAGGTGACAAAGTCTCACTGTCCCTGAAGGTCCAGGGGGGCCTCAGGCACTGCCAGAGGACTTCCTGGAATTCTTCCATGGATAATCTCGGAGCACCAGGTGCTTTCTGAGCTCCCAGCTGGGTGGTGGCACAGGGGGGTGGCACAAGGGTGTCCTCAGGAGATGCCACCGTTTTTGGGGTGGCAGAGCATCAGCAAGACCCCACATCTGCCATGGCATGGGGGAGTTCCGTGGATTGGGAGGGATCTCGGGGGTCCCAAACCCCCCACACTGAATCCTCGGGGTCGGGGGGCACGGGGATGTGCCCCATGTCACACTGGGGATGGGGACACCCCAAACAGGGACACCGGGGGTGGCTTTTCCCCTCCTGCTCCTTTTTTGTCCCCCTGGCCAGAAACTGGGACTTTTTCCGGGGGGTTTTCCCATATTTGGGGCTCAGGACACACTCCCAAACACGGTCACCAGCGAGGGGACAACAGCAAAGCCACCAAAGGCACCATGGTTTAATCCCAGCGACACCCCACCCCATGGAGTGCCACCGTCACTTCCCGACACAAAAGTCCCTAAAAATGATATCCAGGATGTCCTCGGCGCCCACATGCCCGGTGATCCTGCCCAGCTCCCGACGCGCCACCCGCAGCTGCTCGGCCGCCACCGCCAGGTCCCCGCTGTCCCCAAGGTCCCCAAAGCACTCCAGGGCTGCCGCGCACGCCCCGAGGTGGCGGCTGTGCCTGCTCTGAGTCAGGCTGGGAGAGCCCAGGAGGGGATCCCCGCACCTGGAAAAGGGAGTGGGAACGGGATTGGGATTGGGAATGGGGATTGGGAATGGGGATTGGGAAAGCGATTGGGAACGGGAAAGGGATCGGAAATGGGAAAGGGATTGAGAAAGGGATTGGGAACGGGAATAGAAAAGGGCATCGGGAATGGGGAAGGGGATGGGAAATGGGAAAAGGATCGGGCATGGAAAGGGGATCAGGAATGTAAAACCAGATCGGGAATGGGAAAGGGGATTGGGCAGGGAAATGGGATAAGGAATGGGAAAGGGATTGGGCATGGGAAAGGGATCAGGCATGGAAAGGACATAGGGCACGGAAAAGGGGATCAGGCAGGGAAAGGGGATCAGGAATGGAAAAGGGGATGAGCCAGAGAAAGGGGAACCAGCCAGGGAAAGGGGGATCAGCCAGCCCCAAAAACCAGGACGAGGGTTTGGGACCCCCCCCGGACTCACAGCTGTGCCAGCTGCTGTGTCAGCAGCTCCAGCAGCGCCTCCAGCCCCTCACCCGTCTTGCAGGACAGCAGGGTGGCAGGGGGTCCCTGTCCCTGGGCACCGGTGGTACTCGGGGACCCCCTGTGC